AAGTAGTCTCTCCCCACCCCAACCACCACCAATGTGATTTTCTTCTGGAATCTCATCAAAATCTATTTGAATATCTAAGTACACCAAATTCACACTTTTTTTCATCATGTAACTAACCATTAATTAATTATTCAAAAACACACCTCTCTCCCTACATACAATCTCAATCAATATGTTTAACATTAAAGTATTTCATAATTGTTACATCAGTATCTTTATAAGTAGCAACACTGATCATATTATACAAGTTCTTACTGACAATATCTATTATATCTGTCATCATGTGGTCAGTAAGTTACATTTACCAATTAAACATTTTGTATCCATGTGTAACCTGAGTAAGGAAGCACATTATGCTAATATAATAATAGGTAGGAAAACAACGTTTCATAAGCATAAGGAAGTTTTATTGATGGTGAAACATACTAAATGTTCTTTCGAAACATGTGATATGTTCTACCATCAATAAAACTTTTCCTTATGCTTATATATCATTGCTTTCCTACCTATTATTACTTTGTATCCTTAAAACTCCTGATTGTAAATCACATTAATTCAACTTCCTGACTTTCATTTATCATGTCTTCAGTCCTAACTGGTTTCAACTCATCCCTCACATTCAGAGTTACTCCAGCACCTCTTTTAAAAACTATCATTACTCAAATAATTTATGACCAGAAATCTCAAAATATTTCTTATTATCAATATCTTCCAAGATTAATCATGTTTCAGTAAGTCCCACGTATACATCTGACTAAAATCAGTAACATCAGAACAAGATTAATCATGTTTCAGTAAGTCCTATGTATACATCTGACTAAAATCAGTAACATCAGAAAATAAATTTTAAAAGATGAAAATGGGAAAGTATTTTAAACTTGATATTAAAAACAAAATTGCTTCTACACCACTTTAAAGGGACAAGTATACATAAAGCTCTCTGAGTGTGTGTGTATACATGTTCACACACTAAATTTCAAAATAATATTTACTTACCTCAATTAAAATTATTTCTACCTCTCACCTATTAAGGATGCTATTAAAACAACCATCTACGACAATCAAACACTGTTATACATTTAGTAGTCTACACCAGTTAATAAACATCACTAGCTTCACCTTTTCCTCTTTCTTATGTTTATGTGCAGGCTTTGTACAACAGGCCTGTTTCACATTTCAACGTTTTTTATGTCAAGTCCAGTGGTATTATACTCTTCAATAAACTATTTAAAATAAAAATCTCTATCCTATGGTTTAGTTTTCATTAAAAAAAATAAAGCAAACATGAAGATACTCAAAGTTTTCCATTTAATAAAAAATCTTAACTCTCAGAATTTAACTGATTGTATCTAAAACACTTAAAATATAAATTCTATGGATTAGAATCACATTAGGTTACTATAACTTAGGTTCTTTTTTTTTCAAGTAAAATATTATACTTCCAGCTATGATACTGAATGATTTGGGTCATACATATAGTTGTCAAAATTAAGGAACAAACACAAATTATATCAAATTATATCTAGCTATACAGATCATACACCAACTTGATATAAATATTTTTTATGTATATCATTTGTCACTCCACTGTGTTGGTTAGGTTGATATATTCTACCAATTCTTTAATCATGTATCTCGGTGTTTAAATTTACACTCTATAAAATAAGTTATGGCTGCTTACCAGAAACAATTCTTCTCATGATGGACAAACTACAGATGTTACAAAATGCTTAATGCAACATTATGCAGCAAAACAATAATTCAAAAACTATAGAAGAGACACAAAATTACAACAGTGTCACTAGTTCATATTAATATAAATTATAATAACACAGATAAACTGTCAAATAATACAGGAAATATTTTTAACATATCTGTGCCATGTTACAAAGTTTCACAACGGATTAAAACTCTATACACTTGAAGTTGAACTTACTGCTAAGTGATGTTTTCCTTGCTTCATTTTTCAAAATACTGACTTCCAACAAAGCAGTCTCCTCATCAGAAATGGGTTCCATTTTCACATTCAGGGTTTTCAAAACTTCCATGTTGTCGTCAACGTATCACCCTTTATTTTTTACCCGAGGCTGAAGTTCGCAATTACTCCTATCATCAAGAAACAAGAGTAAGAGCTTTTAAGGATTTTTTCAAGGATTCCTGCACCAAGCTTTTCAAACAATATCTCAAAATTTCCTATTTTATTTGGCATTAGTTACGAAAATCAGTTTCAATCAGGCTTCAGTGTTCATTAGGATATGCAGGAAATTTATATATTATTATTATAAATTAAAACTTTAAAATTTAGGAAATTCAACAAAATATATTTTAACACTGTTTTCAGTTTTTGAAACAAATCACAAATAGAAATACTAGTAGGCGAAAAAAAGAAACAATTATTCTGTTATATTTTTGATACAACTAAGGTGGAAAATTAACATAAATCTAAAATATGTGAATATTAAATCTGAAGAAGTAATCGCAATAAAATTACGTTACCTGTCATCTTTCACGTAGCATGTTACTCTCGTTAACAGCTATGACAATCCATCAATAGTATCAATTTAACTTTAAGAGTTTGTAACAAAGTTAGTTTTAGTTAGTTGTACTTTGCAAAACTATATAAATAAACATAAAAAGTGTAAGCTCTTCAAACTATACACAAATTCTGCTATTTCATATGACATTTTTTGTAAAAGCATTGTGGTTAATTTCTGCTGGAAACAATAAAAAAAAGAAAGTTGAGCATAATTTTCTATAAGAAGCATAAGCCAAACACACCGATAAAAAAAGACACTTTGTACCTTTACACAAACTTGGTAGAAAGAAAAGGTGGTACATAAGAAGTGTACGAGAAACGGATTTTTTTCCACCCGTACGTAGTCTCTATCGTAAAGTGTGATTTGATAAAACTAACTAACCGTTGCACCACCCATCATTATGTGGTTTTGTTTGAAATTAAGCGCAAAGCTACACAAAGGACTACCTGTGCTTTGCCCCACAACGGGTATCGAAATCTGGTTGCTAGCGTTGTGAGTCCGCAGACATGCCTCTGTGCCACTGTACCTCTAGAAATCAGAAGGAAATGAACTGTTGATCTTATTTTAAGTTACCTAGCTCTGTTTCTTTGTGAAATGGATAATATCTGTTTCACCCAAGAGGAATATTACTCAATACTGTACTTTGTTGTAAGGATGAGGACAGCAGTGTCCTTCAACAATTATTTAGGTGACGTATAGAGATGACAACCTCCCTTATCTTGTAATAAAAATGAACAGCCACGTGGTATTGCTGTCACTGGGTAAATGCGAGGTTCCTCACATGCTAGTAACATCACATTTAGTCAGTCTAGTCTGAAACAGGATCCTGAATGGTTAATCATTGAAGGTATTCAATCAGAGTAAAAGTATATCATGTTTATTCAACAAGTACATACACCATGTTTATGTTTAGTGTCTTGATAAATATTGTCCATTTTGTGTTCAGTCTCTTTGCTTCATTTTACATCGACCTAGTTAGTGAAAGATTCGGTATTACTTTATAATCAATATCTTGAGCAAATATTCTGTTATTTAATAAACCTATCCTCCATAGCTTTAAGTTAATTCAGTTACAACCTG